AAAACCCTGTGGTGCTGTGAAGGGCTGGAATTCCCCACAGCCCCCAAGAGCTCCCACCTGCCTCCAGGCCACATACCCAGGAATGACCTGCCAGCCCTCCAGCCATCACTAGGGGCTCAGGAAAAGCCCTCATCACCCTCCAAAGGAAGGAGAGTGAGAGAATAAGTATGGCAGGCAAGGCAGGAGTGTAGGGCAGGGAAAGGCAGCAGCAGCTACCTGTCTGATCCCTTATGTTCTGCTCAGTAGATTTACCTACTCAAGGGAAACATTGTTTGGATCGAGGTCTTTTCCTGTGCCTTGGTTCACAACCTTCATGGAGAGGGAAAGCTTCAGCTTGTCATCTTTCATCTGGAGGGGAAAGACAGGGAGCAAGGAGTAAATGGCAATGCTGTTAATTAACATACTGTGTCTAGAGAAGGAAGGAAACTTCTGGTGAGCAAAGAGAAGTGGCAGAAAGGCCTCTGTGACAGTGCTTCAGCTTGATTAGTTTGTAGCTGCACTTAGAGCACTCCAGCTAATAATGCCACTTAAAAAACTGTTCAACAGGTATCTGAGTAATAAGAGAAGCTCAAATCATATAAAGGTTGGAAGGGCCCTTAAAGATCATCTAGTTCCAACCCCTGCACGGGCAGGGACACCTCCCACCAGCCCAGGCTGCTCCAAGCCTCATCCAACCTGGCCTTGGACACTTTTAAGGATGGGACAGCTTCTTGTCCACTGTCAATCCCAAGTCCTTCCTTTCTGTACTGCTTTCGATCCATTCTCCACCCAGCCTGTATTTGTGTTTGGGCTTTCCCCAGCCCAGGTGCAGAACCTGTGAGGGTAACAGAACACTGGAACAAATTCCCCAGGAAGGTTGTGGAGTCTCTGTCCCTGGAGATGTTCAAAACCTACCTGAACGTTTTCCTGTGTGATCTGCTCTAGTGGGGGTTGAACTAGATGATCTCCAGAGGTTCCTTCCAACTCCGACCATTCTGTGATTCTGTGCTTGATTCTGAGGGTTCACGTCCACACAAAAGCTACCAGTGACTTTAGTTAATGTTTAGGTTTTATCTAGGACATCTCTTGTGTAGAAGACCTTCACCCTGGGGTCTAGTCTGGAGGTCTGCTAACCTTGTTCTGTGTGTTGATGTTAAAGGAGGCTGAAGAAGGATGGTTACATGGTGCACTTCAGGCCCTCCCTCTTTGTGTGAAGAAGAGGGGTCCCAGGGTTTGCTGACACCAGGTCTTTCCTCAACCCTGAAGCAAGTAATGCATGAGAACAGTAGAAGCAGTAGGTTAATGTCCTAATAAAAAATACATGATCAGATGCAAGGCAGCTCAATGGGGATCCCAGACAATCATTTCTGCAGGAGAAGGAAGGTACAATTGTGTAAACATAAACCCACTTGCAGTCCATTTGGCTCTTGCTATCAGAAGAGGAGTGACTAGTTCCCCATTTAATGCACCTTTGTTAAATGCACATTTGCAGCAGAGGCCACTTGAGGCTCCTCCAACTCAGATGCTTTTGCTTTGTTCCTCTTTCCTGAGCTGTGTTCAGTGACTGCTTCATTTCCATTACAGAGCTGATCAGCCTTTCACTTCCTAAAGAGCTGCCACCAGTTAAAATGAAATATTTGCACATATCACGCCTTTCAAAATTTAGTCCTGTTCAATTTGCAATCTCTCCATTTCCAAAAAGCTGTACCTTCAAAAATTACACATTTGAAAGTAGAAGATATAAAGTGATTGTAAATGGAAAGTGAAGATTTCAGTATAAATTAATGTAATTCCAAACAATATTCTGTATCATTTTACCTATAATAGCTTTTCTTTGATGATGGAAAGTTTTCTGTAACTCGCAAGCCCCATCCAACCTGCCCTTCAACACTGCCAGGGATGGGGCAGCCACAACCTCCCTGGGCAACCTGTTCCAATGTCTCACCACCCTCATAGTAAAGAATTTCCTCCTAATATCTAATCTAAATCTCCCCTCTTCAAGCTCTAAACCATTGCCCCTGGTCCTCTCAAACCACAGGTCTGTTCAGATTAATATTCTGCTTTGATACAACCAGACCCCAGAGCTGTAGGAGAAAGGGCAGATTTGGAAGCTTTGCTGTAGATCTCAAATCACTCACCCCCTGGACTGACATTTTGCCCAATTTGTACCCTGAAAAATAGAACTGTGTATCCTTTCAGTCTCCTCAGGAGACTAAAAATGTTTCAAGTGTTTCTCTGAGGGGCTTACTCTTTTTCTGAGACCTATTAAGTCCTTGGTTGCCACATTATCCCTTCAGAAGCAAGAGCAAAAGTTGTATTTTGGGGTGTTTTTTTTCAAGCCTTTCTTACAACTTCTTCCATTTCCACCAGGGCTGCTGTTAAAGGTGTTTCTGGTTTGTCTGGTCATGACATCCATGCAGTTATTTGCAGACAATCTAATCATAGAATCTTCCACTGTCCACATCTCCCCCCACCCCTATAGCAAAGACACCAGGAACCCAACAATTGTGTTCCAGATCAAGAAAACTGTGGCTTAAAAACAATTTATACAAACAAAATTGAAAAAAGGCACATCACAGATGGCTAAAAGGAACCTGTAGAGTCTTTCACACACATTTTCTATACTGTGTAATTAAGCCCAAGCTTCTCAACCCTTTTCCCTTTATCCCCCCACCAAATCAAGTCCTTGTTTTGTACATCAACTCAATTATCTTTTTTCCAAAGAAAAAAAAATATAAAGCATTTATGGCCAAATCCTGTGCAACAAAATGGTTTTGCCTTGATCCCAACACAATACAGCCAGCTTGCTTTGTTTCCATGGCTCACCAGAGCAAAAGTCTTTTAGGGGTTTTTTTAAATCTCTAAATACAGATGATGTGTCCCATCTGCTGCAGAAAGAAAAGCAACATAGATAGTGGGGAAAAAAATAATGTATAAAGCTCTTACTACAAAAAAAAAAAAAGACCAAAAAGCCTCTTTGTTTTCTCTCAGGCATAATTTACTGACATCTTCTGGAAAGAAACAAACATCTCAGCTTCTCCTAAGAAGGCACTTGCTGTCTCTCAAGAGAGTTCATGGACTGTTTGTGTGGTCTTTTACTGTGGGATCCCCTCAGGTTGCTCATGAAGCCACCCAAGCACCCAGTGAAGGCCATGCAGGCTGCAAGGGGTGGGCTGGGGGAGAAAGGGAAGCATTTTGTTGGTTTGAAGCCAAAAGCCTTCATGAAGTTCCTCTTCCTCAACTGCAAGTCACAGAGGGTCAGTGCCCAGAGTCACAGCCATGAGAATACACCTGTTGATAAAAGGGAGCCCCCTAACCTGAGAATGTGACAGAAACACAACCTCTGGGGGCAGAAGTTCTCAGGTTTTGCAGTTTATTTTATCTACACGGCACTAAAGAAGGAAAATTACCTCTTTCCCAATGAGCTTCACCCACACTTTGTCTCCAACATCCACGATCTCCGAGGGTTTGTCCACGTGGCAGGAGGACATGTGAGTCCTGTGGACAAGGCCTAGTTGTGGGGTTGGATCAGAAGAAAGGGAGGGAGGGAAAAAACACACCAAAAATTCACTTTTACATCACAGTTTTGTCTCTGGAATGATGGTGTCCAAAGAGTGGTGGATGCAAGAACATCCTGGGCAGGTACAGGAGGAAAATCTTTTTGGACTGCTAATAAATCAAATATTCACAGTGTTTATTTCACCTTTAACTGATCCTTTTTAATTTCTGGTTTTGAGTGTTTTACAGTGTTCAGAACAAGGACAGTAGTCCCCATGGGTCATATATAAACATACATATACATACACTGGGCATGTGTGCTCCAAATTATTTTTAATTGACAGGGCTAATTGATTTTAACTGGCCATGCACAATCAGACAGGCTTGGAGATGCAGGTGAGAATTAATGAGTTGCATCAATGAAACATGTAAAAGCTTATCAAGAGCAGCTCCAAATTAACTCCAACTAATTGCAGAAAATCTCTCTAGTTTGTCTAATACCTTAAAATTATTCTCTAAAATCCAATACCTGAAAGGAGCCTCTAAGGAGGCTGGGGAAGAGCTGTTCACAAGGAGATATAATCACAGGACAAGAGATGATGGGTTTAGGTGGAAAAGGGTGGATTTAGATGGGACATCAGGAAAACGTTCCTTAATATGAGGGTGGTGGATCACTGGAAGAGGTTGCCTGGAGAGGTGGTGGAAGACCCATCCCTGGAGACACTCAAGGTCAGGCTTGATGGGGCTCTGAGCAACCTGCTCTAGTGTGAGATGTCCCTGCTTATTGTCAGGGGGTTGGACGAGGGGACCTTTAGAGGTTCCTTCCAACCCAAGACATTTTATGATTCTAAAATGTCTTGAAATTATCAACAAGCTCCAAGTCCCTGTGGGACTCATGTAAACACACCATCTTATTATAAACACTTGGTGAAAATCTCAACTTCTTCCTTATTTAGAAAAAAAAAAACACTTGTCCTGAGAGCCCAGAGCAAGTCTTGAGCTCCAAGGACAACTTCTCAGCTCAAACACACCAGCAAAGCTCTGAACAAAACCACAGACACAAACCTTGCTTCCTGCAGCCTGGAATTTTTATAAATGCCCCATATTCAGTCACTGTAGCAACCTGTGAAGAAAATCAAGACAAAAACCTAAGGCAAAGCCCTTCAGAAAAGACCTGTTTGTGAAGCCCAGGTTAGAAAATGCACAGAAGCCTACAGAGTTTTCCTGCTTTCCTTCAGTTTCAGATTTCCAGGCAGGCTGGACAATGAAATGCTGGATCACCCTGGAGCAGGACTGGTCAGGCAACCAAGTCCTGCTGTTCAGATCATGATCTTTTATTTGTATATGTGGATATAAGTATGTCCACATGAATATATACATGACAACCTTCACCTTAAGGGTCGTCAGGCCCTGGCCCAGGCTGCCCAGGGCAGGGGGGGAGTCCCCATCCCTGGAGGGGTTTCAAAGCCCTGGAGATGGTGCTGAGGGACATGGCTTAAGGATTGGACTTGGCAGAGTTGGGTTAATGGTTGACAGGGTTAGATTATGGTTGGATTCAATGATCTGAAGGGTCTTTTCCAACCAGAAAGATTCTGTGTTTCTATGTGCTTCTCCCATGGGAAATCTATGAGGGATTTCAAAGCCCTGTAGATGTCATGTTGATGGACATGGGTTAGTGGTGGCCTTGGCAGGGCTGGGTCAACAGCTGGACTCGATGATCTTAAAGGCCTTTTCCAACTAAAACAACTCTGTGATTCTGTCCTACGAGTCTAGAAACACACAAACACACACAGGAGTTTGTGGAACAAAACCACCAGGTACCCAAAACGCCACTGAACCTCAAACAACAAACCACAGGCCCCAAGCAGCCCCCTCCCCAAGCCGTGCAGCCCCCCCGGGCCCCGCAGCCCTCACACCTCTCCCTGGAAGATGGCATAGAGCTCGGGCAGGGGCTCCATGGTCCTGCCAGGTAAATTCTTCTGCCTTCGGAGCTGCCTGGGAAAGAAACAAAACTCCCTCAGGCAGGGAACGCCCAGGCCTGACCAGCAGGCAGATTCCGGTGTGAGAAACGTTTATTTAAATTCTTGCAAGAACGGGTGCCCTAAACAGGCAGGCACACCCATAGCAAGGTGAATAACGGCTTCTATTCCCTATTCCCAAAGTTCCCTCCCCTGTGTCCCCACTGGCTGGGCACTCCAGGGTTCACAGCCTCTCCCACGCTTCAAATTATCCTGTAAGTTTCCCGCCCCTGTTCACACATCCTATTCTAGCAGGTCACTTTTTAAGGTAAAAATTTGACCTTTCTTGCCCCCTTGGCTGCCTCCCCAATTAACAAACCCACTGGTGTCACCCTGCCCTGAGCAGCAGGACAGAAGTGGCTTCGTTGGGTCTGATCTTGGGCCATAAATCCTGCTCTGATCCCCAGATGGAGCCCAACTCACTCCCTCAGTTTCCTGGGCAACAAACCCCTCCTGGTGCCCTTAGGATGCGCAGATACCTCACGTATCTCAAACAAACTATATATTTAAACCACTAGGAGACAGATACAGGCACAGAAACCAAACCCGACGCTATGTTTCTAACACTACAGCGCCAAATCAACAGCACATTTCATTTCTAACACCGGGGCGGAACTTACGGGGGTTGGAGGGTCCGGGCTGGGCCTGGAGGGGGAG